GTTAAATTTTTTAAATAAAGTGTTATTTTAATTTATAGGCGATTCGGTCCCATCAGATGGTTTTAGGGGACCTATTTCTATACCTCGTGGTACCATGGGGACTTGAAATAGTGAGGAGAAAGAGGAGATACCAATCAATCGTTCCATCGATTGACATTTACCATTGAATTGATGATTTAATGTGACTTTGATGCAGTATCCAATAGGAATTTTTGTATGCAAAACTGCTTATGTAATTAAAAATTATACAAAAGTCATATATCATAAATATATACAAATACTTTTATTTCCAGCTGTTTTCTGGTGTGTTTATTGTTATGCTTGCACTGTTAAACAAATACAGCCGTGAGACCAAAGGATTTGGTAAAAGCTAGAAATGTATGCAAATTTTGAAAATAATAAGGCAAAGAAAGAAAGAAAAAACCTTGGCCTATAAAAAGACGTTAAGACATTGCAGACTTTTTTTAAGGTCCAATGACTACCTCTAGATCTTTTTTTATCAACAAAAAAACTAAATATTGAGTAAGTTACGTAGATTTTGGATAAAATCGGAGGAGAATTCATGATTTCCGGAATGGTAATAAGCTCCTACTTCACAAGTAAAAATATGTAGCTGTTAAAAATAATTTTGAAATGACAACTAAGATTTATTTGTTTAAATTTAAATTCAAATTATCTTCATACAATTTTAAAAGTTTTAACTGAAATAATCCCTCTAAATAGGAGTATATTGTACAGTAACCAAAATCTTTTGCTATATATTAATAGACTCTTGTGTTTTTTGAAAATGACATTCCCTTGTAAAGTTTGGAAGACAAAAAATCGAATCAAATCAACTTTAAATTTGTACATAAATTATCTTTGTTCTGAAACGGGGGTCTAAACCTACAAATTTGGGTACAGACGTCCTACTGGAGTTTGAAAAACAACCCCTATTCATATATTCATTTATGCGAAAATCCCTACCCATTCAAATATTTCAAAAGAAAATCACAACCCATTTATATATATTTCCCAGCTATCATGACAACATCTTGTTTCAATGAGATGTTAACCATATGGGATCCGTGATTCATAAGATCAGAACATAGTTTTTACTGACATCTTAACAGAAGATTAACATGTATGACCCATTAACATATACATTTCGACCCATTGATATATTACCTCCGTGAAATTGCATCGCATTGATATATTTGACATTCCAAAAAAGATCTGTGTATACCTTTATACGGGAAGAGAACCCCCCCCCCCCCCCCCCCCCCCCCCCTTGTGTGTTCTTAGTGCCATTTGCATCTGGTGCAGAAAAATTGGTACCGTTTATGTAATTCTTACAACAGAGTATATGTTTACCCTCGGAAGCAAACAATTGGCCTTTCACATATATAATCGCTTCCCATAACATACTGTTAAACATATATTTCATTTTAATAAATAATGTTTTAGTTGTATCTAACATGTCATCGGTGACCACTCTTAACTCCTTATGAATACCAAGTCTATAAATTGGAATTGTTCCGATTTCTATTTAGATAAAGTGATCAGAATATATAAATATTAAAAGATTTGTTATATTTTCCTGTTACACCTGGACAAACAAGTATAAAAATTCTAACATTTTCATATTCCGTGACGCATTTTAATACTTTGTCTGAGTTTTCATTATAGACGGTCCGACCGAGTTGACTTTGTAGAAGGTCCGATTGACTTATAAGTCGGTCCGATTTGACTCTGTCCGAGTTATCTTCGGGCCGAGTTGTGCCGCATTCGTTAAATTGCAACAGCCAATGAAATCCGTTGTTACAAATATTACCCAGAATGAAATATTATTTATTATTGAATATATATATATGCTATTGCAGTATATTAACGCAATTTAAAACATAAAATGTTGTATCTTTAGATTTGAATAAAGGATAAGTATTTCAATGAAACAGCAAAACAACGACACAAATACATTTTACAGGTCAATACATAATAACAATAGGTAAATGTCGATACAATATGTCAAGCTTTTAATCAAACCGAGTTTAGAAAAAAAGGCAAACTTAAAAGAAGATATATCAGCCATACACAGCAACTTCTTTCAAGGTTATATTTTTACACAAATGCGTATGTATTAGATAGGAGAAATTAACGATTATAACAACTGCAGTTTCAATTAATTGTCAGTTAAATTCTTTTTCTTTTGAACAAGGGACAATAGGCATATTTGTTAGTTCAAAGGCGCCATCGTTTTTTATTCGTTATTGAATTCACACAAGTGACATTTAAATATTAAAAATTATACAAAGATGACTATACATATTTTATTTGCTCTGGAATAGAAGTGAAATAATTATACATTTGAAACTTGCTTCAATATTTGATAAAAAAAAAACTGACAATAAAAACCTTAAGAGCTTAATGTAAATTGTAATTAAAGTGTAAAATAGGGTGACAAAGGTAAATAGCTATACTTATAAAAGAATGATATCCCACTCAGTGTATGTAATGTGCGAATCCTGAAATGTCATTTTTACTGTATCCGTGATGAATTTCTGATGTAGAATGATAAATAAACAGACGATAAATTCGTGATTTTTGAAAAAAATAAGAAATAATATATAATGTGTACTGTTTTTATAATTTCATGATATAGGTATGAGATGCGGACGGGTTTTCATCGCGCCTACAGCCATCCAGGTGCAAAATTGATACACAAATAGATAAATATTAAGAATAGTTCACGAACAGAGCGTGCAAGAGATTTAAAAGTAGCAGTTAAGTTTCATTTGAAGAAAAATGTACCTTTTGACATAATTATTAATGTTGTATAACTTAAAACAGGTTTTGTTATTCAGCTTGATATTGACTCAAATTCCACTATACTGTTTTCGTTATGCGATTCATGTTTATTGTCGAATAATGATACTAGACTTTCATTTTCACTGTAGGGCGATTCATTTTTATTGTACATGCGATGCATTTTCACAGAAGGAAATGAATTAATTTTCATTATATAAAGTCTTTATTCAGAAGGAGAGATTATATATACATACTTTGTGAGTTAAAGTCTGAGGTAATATACCAATAAATTCCTTAGAAATGGCATTTATTGCTAATATAGTCAATTTTATTTTCTCTAATAATTTATCCAGATCAAGATCTATATATAGGATAAAATTTATTCCTTCCTATGACATGCCATCATTGAATACATATATCTTGGACAGTTAAGCCAATCCACGTCACCGAAAAAGCAGAGTTTCTGTTTCGGTCTAAATCTACATCGCATACTAATAAATTAAATGTTATTAGAGCTATTTTCCTAATGTTTGTAGTTTAAAGGTGTGGGTGACTTGCTTGCTTTGTTTGTATAAATGTTTGCTTAAGCATTGTAATTAAGATTGAGTAAACATTTATACAAACATAGCAAGCAAGCCAACCAAACTTTTAAACTACAAGCATTAGGAAAATAGCTCTAATGGATGCATTTTAGATAACAAAAAGTAAAATCACAAAAATACTGAACTCCGAGGAAAATTCAATCGGAAAGTCCCTAATCACATGGCAAAATCAAATGACAAAACACATCAAACGAATGGACAACAACTGTCATATTCCTGACTTGGTACAGGCATTTTCAAATGTAGAAAAGAGCATTCACAAAACTATCTTCATTTCACGATTGAATGAGTGGAAACGTTTTCATCTTGCACAAACAATTGACGCTTGGTTGACTGGAGAATTGATATTTATCATGCCATTGTGTACACATCTAATACATTAAAGAAAGTTGGAGCAACAGTCAAATCACCTTAATTCATGTTTTAATTTCTTATAAGTCTGTTTTTAAACATAAGCAAATACGCAATTGTAAGAATAAAAGGAAATATTGAAAACAGTTTAGTGTTACATGTTTAAATGGTTCTATACCACGGGGTATAACCGCCTTATAGTTGATTCCGGACGTTAATCGCTACATCGCCAAGTGATGTTGGTAGATAGACCGTTCTTATATTTTCACCAAAGACTAATTGACGCACTGTTCAGTTAAGTATTCAATGTTTATGAAAACAAAGTTTACTGCTCCTGGCAGCTATATTACATGAACACCATGTGACTATTTTAAATAGACAGGTCTGTGAATTACTTTTTAACATCGCGAAACAAACAATCTGTGTAACTCAAACTTGATTAAATTACAAATAGAGCATAGTTGGTTGGCTCTTACACTCAATGCGACCGTGTATTTTGTGATTTGTTGTTGTGAATAATACATAATGCGAATGAGAAACCCGTTGTTTTAATTATTTTTGAAGACATTTACTTGAAAAACTGACCTCAGAATTTTGGCACTGTACGATTCATTCTCTTTGTAGTTTGTTAACTTTCTTTAGTACCGTTCGTTGTACATTCTTGTACTGTTCATTGTGCAAAAGCCTATCAATATGGTAGAAATATGTATGACACGGCGTGACAAATTTTCAGAGCTTTTTTATGCGAGTTCTCAAACTTCTAAAGGAAAATTCGCCGTAGAAATACGTTATATTCATGGATGTTTTGCTCCAGTAAATTTTCGGATCCATGACAAGCTAATAGCAAACTCACCAACAATATTTGAATATGCATGATATGAACGAGGTTATACCCGTGTATATTCAAGTAGGCATCTACGACTAGCTGGCATTTCAAATTGTAAAGATCATCAATAGTAAAGTCATTTAAAAACTATTTTCAGTTGTTGCATGTCGAATTAACATATAAATCAACAATGAAAATTCATAGCACCTTCAAAAATTCCACATCAGAAATTATTGCACTTACAGTGATAATTCATCGCATTTATAGTTAAAATGGATCGCATTCAGTAATTAATATTATGGATTCTGCTGCTTTAATTACACTTTTTTGGACATTAATCCTGTTATTATACATTAAAAAGTTATATTCTAATGAAATTGTATTAAAACATACATTCATTCAATTGTATTGTATTTTTAAAAAGTAAACAAACGCAGTTTTTCCCATCATCCTTTATTCTACAATAGACATACTCGCATACAACAGTGAAAATGAACTAACTGGATTCGCCCTTTATATACACTGCCACTGAAAGCTTGAAAGTTTTTGAACATATATTATTTGTGTTATCGATTCGCACTTCTAAATTAAATGACTGGATACATAAAATGTAAATGTCAAATAATTACTTCCCTTGTGTGTACAAGGTACACATGGAGCATCCTGATTGTAATAAATACAAGTAATAGCTTTTCAAAAAAACGCTAGCCGTCTCTTAGCTGATGAAAATGGAAAGTGTTCTCGCTTTGTAGATTAATTCATTCAGAATAGTCTTGCATATCAATCAACAAATTTTACCACTCACGTGAGGTCACACGTTATGAAGTAGTATATCGTTTAACGTTGTGTGTGTTTACAAAACTCCAGAAGATTCGGCTATTTATAGATAAAAGTTACCTGTGTACCAATCTCATGAATATGCATGATTAATGACCAGGCAAAATCTAATTGCTAAAATAGAGAGGACAAATCCGATACTCTACGGGATTGAAAGACATTTACTAGGTTTGGATTGTCCTAACCAATCAACAAACTTTGATTATTCACGTCTCGTAATATCTTCCAATCAGGTAGTAAGAGGCGTTCACGCACTGACTGTCCATCGTTCAATTCTTAATAACGTCTCCAAGGAGACGTTAATAATGCGTGCTAATCTATTGACAACACGGAAAACAGTCTTTTGTATTTAAGATATGAGGAAAGGGGAAGTGGATGGTTGTTGGGGATGGATGATAGTAGCAGCCGCTGCCTTAAACAGAATAGTGATATATGGGATATCATACTCAGCTGGTGTGGTTTATGTTGTCATCCTGGAAGTTTTTAACGAAGGGAGCGGGATAACATCATGGCTATCTTCACTCATCACTGCCGTTTTATTTTTCACCTGTAAGTATTTGTGAAAACATTGTCATTCATTTTGCACAGTTCATACCGTACATGTACATGTTGCAATCACGCATAATTGTGTACGGCCTTAAAATATTACGCATATAGTTATTTATATTGCCATAGGTAATGTACTAAACTGTATGATGCATAATTTTTTCAAGTCGGAAACTTTTTCCGCAACTGTGATTATTGCATCATAAGACATTGTCCAATATTTCCTGGCCTGCGTTTCACATAGAATTCTTGCGACTCAAATTGATCGAAAGTATACTGAATTGTTCTTGATTTGCAAGTTATGTTTGTCGTAAGATTTTTTACGAAGGCCTGTATATTTGAAAGCAAGGCGTAAAATCATAGTATGCTCACGTAGGGGAAAGACCTTAATTAACCACTACCAGAAAAGGGCATATACGGATGGTATTAGAAATTTCCTTGTCGTTCCTTCCCACCAATCGATTTGTTTTGAGGGATTTTCATTGACAGTCTATCTAGGATTCTGGAAATCTTAAACAATTTTGGAACAAAACAAACATAAATTAAAACCATGTATACTGATGCATAAGTAATTTCAGATAGTCTATTTATACAATGAAAATAATATTTTTTCATATTTACTGAGTTATGATGCAAATTGAAAACTTGGTTATTTCTGTATATTAATACTGATTCTGAAATGAATTAGAATCATGTGCAAAACAGTGTAGTCGAGACCATTGATTGGCGCGCTAAAATATCCCATTGACTGGGTCAGATTAGGTGAACGTTCGTCTGTAACGCCCACAACTCACGACGTATTTATTATAGACATTTTGACTGTGGGGTCACCAAAGGGTCTCAACGCCTAAATAAAATAATTCGAAAAACTAATCAGGAATAACCTTTGTGTTTTGATTTATGTTGAATACTTAAACGTTCTTTACTTGTGTTTTTGTTATGTTTTGATAATGAATTTTTATGATATCGGAAGTTCTTTCAGCAAAAAAGGATTTAACTGGCTTTAAAAGTTACAATGGATGTGTTGATTATTATCTTTTTTTCGGACGTCAAAGCGATTTAACAATTGCGGTTGTCCAATTATGTCATCTTTAAACTTTTATCTGGTCAAAATATTATTTTAGAACGAATGCATGATCAACTTTAAAAAGTGTGCAAACACAAAACATATAGACAAAACATACTTCTTTCCTGTCTTTTTCGTACTTGCAAGTTATTAGACAGTAAAAAGGCTATTTGGATCAAGCCTTGTGAAATTTGCATTTACGTTTTTGAATAGGTAAAATGTATAGTTTGGTGATCTTTTCTGCTAACTACTATACTTGTGAAAAACCCTTGGCAACAGAAACATATTCAGCTTTTTTTTTAATCGACCCAATTTACATAGTAATGAACGACTTCGTACATTTTATGATCGCAAATAAAATATGTATATAATATACTGTGCACTGTAGTTCGTATATATACTGAGACCCTTTGGCAACCCCATAGTTTAAATGTTTATAATAAATACGTCGTGAGTTGTGGGCGTTACAGACGAACGTTCACCTAATCTGACCCAGTCAATGGGATATTTTAGCGCGCCAATGAATGGTCTCGGTTACACTGTTTTGCACATAATTCTAAGTGTCAATCTCAATTGCTTTTTAATTGTAAATCTTTTAATAAATTTTAACTACACGATGATTCGCTGGCAGACTGGCACTTACAAACGTAGACTGGCATATCAGGTTACGTATCATCAGCTCAGTAGTTAGTGCCTCGGTACTGACATGATTTATAACATCAAAATAGTCTATTCCTACAAATACCCATACGATAATTAAAACTGTTTAGGACGTAATTTAATATCCATCACAGATAGAGTTTTCACGGTATTTGTTCCTATTAATAATTCTCAATTTTCCATCTCTTTAAATTATTTGCAGTGTGAAGTATCATGTTAAGCTATAAAAAGATTAATTTCGTATCGTCTATACATAATTATTAATCACGGTTTGATATTATTGTTTAACTATTTAGGGTTAAATCCAACTATATGTGGAATCCATATTCTTTCATTAAAATTAAACGAAAGACGAAAGTAGCAATTATATACCAAGTGTTTCGTCACAGCGTTCCAATTGAACATAAAAAAAAAATGATATCACAGATACAGTTAAAAAATTGACACTGAGGGTTAGCTAAAAAATAACTTACCGACAAAGGAGGTAACCTAAATTTTCCCATTTTAATGGAGTATTCATCGCCAAGTTGGCATATCCTCCAGAGCTAGAGGACTGCTGCTTACAAGGAAGCTATCAAAAGCGTTCTAATCGACAAAGGTTAACTGATTACTCAATATTTAGTTCAACGGACACCAGCATGCCTTCCATTTGTTGACTATTTCGTAATATCAGTTTAACTAATTACCATGAATAGTTTTACACTAGTCATTTTGGGGCCCTTTATAGCTTGCTGTTCGGTGTGAGCCAAGGCTCCGTGTTGAAGGCCGTACTTTGACCTGTAATTGTTAACTTTTTACACATTGTGACTTGGATGGAGCGTTGTCTCATTGGCACTCATACCACATCTTCTTATTTCTATATGTTCTCCTTTTTTGTATCCAAATTCCAGTTCAGAAAATCATAACCGAATGCCCCTATTATCTCTTTTTACTTGTTATGAGGAAAACGACGGGTGCAACTAGTAAAGCAGGACCAGCTTTCCCTTCTGATGCACTAGCAGCTGAGGCCAGTCCACTCCATTTTCTAGTTTTTTTTCTGGTGGGGTTTGTTTTGTTTCATTTTAATTTTGCTATGTAGTGTATTTTTAACTGTTTTTCCTTTAGACATGATGTTGTCTGTACTTTGAATACTATTATAAGAAGGTTTTTTTTAATTTCATCTTTGGTATGGTATTTTTTGTATTTTGTTTCTTAGTTAAACATTAAAAATCAGGAATTGAATAAAACTTCATGAAATGTGACAGGTTCATTTGGTTTTAAATTTAAAATAAAGCAAATCATCAAGGATACCTTTATCAGCATTATACAATAGAGGTACAACCACTATGAAAAACTAAAGTGTTTAAGTTTGGGTTTTTTTTTTTGGCATTCTCTTGCCGTCAAATATTTGAAAACAATCATTTTCTGCTTTACAATATGTTAAATAATGAATTTTAGTTTTCCACTTTCAGCAAATTATCGCCTGCAGTTCACTTTTGAATACGCGAAACCTAACTTTATAAAGTATTCGATAGTAATTATTACTTAATCTTTTGTAAGACTGTCGATTGTATAGTTGAAAGCGACAGAAGAAAGAGATACCAGAGATCTGATCGGATCATTAATGATGGTTACATTCCTATAAAATGGCAAGACGAAGATGTTCTCTTAAATATGTATGCCTAACAGAATCCTATGTTAGTATGTTTCCTTTCAGGTCCATTATCTGGATATTTGATTGAAAGATACGACGAACGAAAGGTTGCCATTGCTGGAAGTCTGATTGCAGCTATTGGCATGACGTCATCTGCTTTTGTCAGTTCCGTTCCCGCTCTCATTCTGACTTACGGCATAATTTCAGGTAAAAATATATTTTGGACACCAGAAGTGTAGAAAAAAATCACTAAAGCAATCACTGGCGAACTTAATAATAACTGGTATACTTGATGAGATTTTGCAAACTAATTCAATTTTTTTCTGGCTTTTTCTTGTACATATTACATTTACTGGTTAGCAGCGCAGTAAGGTATATATAAATTGCTTGGTCCGAAACACTATTAAAACAGATTTTAGCATTAACGTAAATATTTTGCAAAATGCTATTTTATAAAACTTATATCATTTGTTTTTTATTTTAAGGACAAGCATTTATAGCATTTTTCTGTGTCAAAAGATAGATAATATTCATCGAAGTCTGGTTGTATCTACGTTGTTATATTTTCTTGCGATTTATAAATTATCGTTATTTGTTGTTTCATGATGCTATACCTTGTAAACTATGAATAATGTGCTTATTGAAACAGGTAGTGTTTGCCTGATGCACTTAAAAATATAATTAAACAGTAACTGGGGGTTCTTTACTAATTAATTTCATGTACACTGGATCTAATGTATTTGTTATAGCTATTAAAATATGTTTACAGGCATAGGATGCGGAATAGCGTTTATGCCAGGAAGTGTAGCAGTGGCTAAATACTTCAAAAACCATCGACCACTGGCAATGGCGATATCATCTGCAGGTGGCGGAATAGGTATTTTTGCATTCCCACCGATTATTGAAATGTTAAATGAATATTATACATGGCGTGGTATGTTTTTGATTCTTGGTGGAATAACTCTCAATATATGTGTATTTGGATTATTAATCCGCCCTTTGACAAAAGAGGTCAGCTTAGAACAAAAGTCACAAGAGAATGGATATTCTTCGGACAAATCAGAATATAACAAGTTACAACAGAGCAGTGTTCGCAAGAATCTCGAGACAGTACAATTAAATGGAGAAAGTGAAAACTTCAAACAAGTTGGATTTCTCGACAAACATTTTTATCTGAAAATTCCATCATTTTACATCCTTATGATCAATAATTTTATGTATCAGTTTGGCGCATCGATTATCCTAGGTCACCTGCAAGCTTATGCTGTTTATCAGAAAGGATTTACTAAGCCAAATGCTGCTATTTTATATACAATTTCCGGTGTTATGGTTCTTGTTTTCAAACTTCTACATGGTGTCTTTGCAAATATGAGCCATGTAAAAATATTTAGACCCATTTATCAATATATTTTCTTCTATGCATTAGGTGGAATAGCAACAATATGTTTGACTATACATTCCCGTTACGGTGTATACTTTTACAGTGCGATATTTGGAATGAGTTATGCAGCATGTGGAGGCTCCCTTGTCCCAGCTATAATCATTGACATTTCTGGCGTAGAAACATTTGGTGTTACATATGGAGTTGTGCTTTTCGGTTTAGCAGTTGGACAGTTAACTGGTGCTCCTGTAGCAGGTTAGTGTTGTTTCTAAATACACTTAATTAATTTGAGAAAAACGTGTTGTTTGTGTATCGAAGTAAACGTTTCGCCTCCTACTGTTGACGAAGGACACATTACAAAAAATATACTTGCATAAACCATGTAGGCATAAATGACGCGTCGTTAAACAGTTTAGAAGCTTAGGCTTACTCTTCATATACATGAACACAAGAACTTTAATAGTAGAAGAGAAAATGACAACCTTTGAAGTTAACATAGCAGAAATACAGAAATAAAAACAAATATTCAAACAACACTGTAAAATATAAATAACACTCACATAAATATGCTTTTTCCGAAGTGTTTACAATACCGTATTGAAGAACGCAACTAGTAGTAGAAGCAAGCTTAAAACATACTACTTTTGTTTTTGTTTCAATCTTTCATGAATTTATTGTTGCAGGTATTTTATATGAACACCAGAAAACATATGATACTTCCTTCATCCTTGCCGGATCTATGATGATAGCAAGTGCCTTAATAATGATTTATCCTCTGAAAACTGATCTCAACCCTTCAAAACTAAATAAACAAAATGAAAATAACATAGAAATGAATATTGAAGAAATCGATTCAATAAACGAAGAAATGCTTACCGTTTTTGATCCAATATCAATGTCCGTCGTTTAGGGAAGCAGAACAAGTCTTCAAAGTGGAAACATCGACAATTTACATTGTGCAGGGAAATATTATCACAGTTCTAATGGTTTACGTAATATAGATACAATGAATAAGCGTTGATTCTTGAAAAAGAAACCATGAGCCCGGAGGGCGAATGGTTTGTTTTTCATGAATCAACGCTTATCCATTGTATCTATAATTAAACTATGGTGTTAATTTCTTTTCAAAATTAAAGCCTTTTCTTAATTAGAAGGTATTGATAGTGAGTTTAAATAACCATGGTTTCATGTTCAACGATGCATTACTAAATATAAGATCACAAATAATTGGTTAGAAAATTAAAATATAAATATAACACAACACGTCTGCCTTTAAATTATCAGGCATCTGAATATTATCTGTGTTTACAAAATAAGACATATTCGAACTTATTTCTAATACATTTGAGAATGGAAATGGGGAATGTGTCAAAGAGACAACAACCTGACCAAAGAGCAAATATAAAGGAAATATAATAAGTATGTTACCGAAATTTCTAGCAAGAAGCCTTATTCTAGGCACATCATGATTTACTCGCATAGGAATTTGCGAATAAACATTTGTAAAATTATGAAGTAAAACAGATGAAATCTTACTATATTTATTAAACAAAAATGGACAAATTGAATGTAATCATTTTCGTTTCAAATATGTGAAATAGCCAATAATAATAAAAAAAAACGGTAAAACTCGCTATTATTACAAAAATATCCACAATTACATACAAAATAAGAAAAAAAAAACAAACAGAAAAACTAAAGAATAGGGACAACAAACAGAATACAGGGATTTGAACCTAAACTGACAAGTCCCTACCTTTAACTTGACTCTTTAACTCATTGATCTTGACCATGCTAACCTCGCGGCTACCAACTTATACTATACGATTGCCTATTATGTATATATAAAGGTACACACCCTGTGTGTCCGTTGTACCGATGTATATCATATGTTCATTTATATATATAAAATAGACATATAAATTGTAACCAATTGATAGCCGAGAGGTTTCGTCGATATGTTGATGTCAGTCACACATAACAGATTTCAAGGACGGGTTCGATTCCCAGTGAAGGCATATAAAAATTACAAAAATTAAAGGTAAGTTTTTAAATTAATTCCATTAGTGAACAGAAATCAGTAAATTAGCTAATTCAAACTTAATGAAATTAGGCACACAAAGGAACAATTGAATATATAATTTGGTGAATCCATTTCAGCGACAGATTTAGAAAGCGTTGATTCTAGAACAAGTCTAGGTTAGTCTATGGAAAGGTATATACTATGAAATTTAGAGCGAGGGGCTTGCCCCGAGCTCTTAATTTCATAGTATATACCTTTCCATAGACTATCCAATTTAGCACATATTTACAACTCGAGTAATCTTTTAATTGGTCTATTGATAGTTTATTTTGGCTGACTACTTGTATCACAGGTGTTTGTAAAACGGAACTCATTAACGAATTTTGTAAATCTACTCACTAGTATCATTGTAAAATATGTGATTTCAAAAGGCCCTTCACTCCAGAATGAAAAGATGGTAGCTGCTGGTGTAAGTATGTATACTGATATAAAGCGGTGTTTTACTATACATGTTCTTCTTACAAGGTAAGATGACAAAATAAATTGACCAAAAGCAGGCAATAATTAAATTGCAGTGGAAGCTTTACATGTTTTGAAAACATTTTTTAATTTCACAGTAAAACTAAAGCTATAATAAATTTGAAACATATAGATAGTTTGTCCCCTAAGATATAGTCTAGCAGATAGGCATTAAAAAGCAACTACAAATAGATCAGAGATTATAGGTTTTGTGTTTTTTTTTTTTTATTAGTTAAAAGTAAAAACTAAAAGATTTATCAGAATATGTTTATATATATATATATAGGTGGCACATTATCTTCAGACATAATCACAGTTTTTCAATTCATGACATCGTCCTAAACATGCATGAAATATTTGCCACTGGACATTAAGCAACCAATAATCAATAAATCAATCAATTCATGACGAAATAGATCACTTTCCTTAAGAAAGTTTAAAAAATTATCACCAAGTTGCTTTAATTTTCCTTCACAAGGTTTCATAGTACACACTTTTCTGTGTACAAAGTAATTGCATGGATGATACATTATCATAATTTTAAGATATCGTTGTACTCTAATCAAGGTATAAAGAACCATATGTATTACCCTTTATTTAAATGATAAAATTTGCAATTGTCAAAAACATTTTTTAGATCCAAAGATTTTAATAGCAGGATATTTAAAAATCAATGTGAAAACTAATTACAAACTATTTAATTTAATTTGGAACACAGCATTTTATTTCAAAATAGCCAGTGGGAATTTTTGTTTTAAATATCTTGATTACGATACAATGAAATCTTATCCTTGTGGTCATTCATGCGTAGTTACTTAGTACACAGGAAAAGTATGTACTATGAAAATTAGAAGGCAAATATAAGCAATTTGATTGGACGAGAAGTTGTAAGTATGTGCTAAGAATCCACGGTAAATGAATAGGCTGACGTCACGACAATGGTTTAAATCGAATTAATCGACTAAGTGATAGTTTGGAATCTATAGAAGTTGGACCAAGATCATCAAGTTTTAGTGTTCACAGGCATACAGGTCGTCAACATAATGCAAATACACAGCAATCAAGTAGTCTTCTGAATGCATTAAGACAGGAAGGTCAGTCTCACTACCACCCAATACTGTCACCACTTGCAATAGAGCGATAATTTAAATGTTTGTGAAAGTTTTGTCGTGGGAGCAATATTTAACTTGTTAATGAAAAAAAGACCAACAATTAAGTCAAATTCATTATATTTTAATCAGTTAGAGAATATCACCATCGGTTTTTTTTTCTTAAAATATTAAACGTGATGGAAGCATACCTTTACTTTTAACAACTTTTTTAAAAGATTAATTTTTTCATATATTGATGGTTTTGTATACATGAAGGTAGAAAGGAGCAGAGCAACACGCAGTCTCGAGGAAAGGAACATATATATCAGGGAACTTAATCTGATGAAAACAATTTGTTATTAGATATAGGAAGATGTGGTATGAGTACCAATGAGACAACTTTCCATCCAAGTAACAATTTATAAAAGTAAACCATTACAGGTCAAGGTACGGCCTTCAACACGGAGCATTGGCTCACACCGATCGGCAAGATATAAAGGGCCCCAAAAATTACTAGTGTAAAACCATTTAAACGGGAAAACCAACGGTCTAATCTATATAAAAACGAGAAACGAGAAACACGTATGAACTACATAAACAAACGACAACTACTGTACATCAGATTCCTGACTTAGGACAGGTGCAAACATTTGCAGCGGGATGTATGTAAGACGAAGATCCCTCCGTGAACGGAGCACCCTATTACCTGACGATTAATGTAAACACAAACATAATTTATCTTCATCTTAACAGTTAAGGTCATACGATAAAGAATAAATTCCTCGTTGATGTTTCCTTAAAATTTTGACTCAAAGTCAATTTTGATATGCACAATCGAAATATGCAAAGAAAAATATACCTCCGTGACTTAATTTTTGAGATATTTAAGTTTAAAAACTCAAAATTTCATTTTTGATTACTTTTCCGAAAAAAATAACACAACTTTGAAACGAAAAAGATATTTTCACCCGTCTTTTCTAAAGTGTTCCTTACATATATATATAGACGTGTAAGAAGGTCTTTATGATTAAGTGATCAAATATTTGTGAAATAATTCAATTATTGGAAATTAAAACCCGTAGACATTTATTTGAAAATAGAAATGTATGTAGACTAAAAATTATTGTTGACGTTTTCTTTAATAGAATAAATGAGATTCATGTGCTCATATTTTAGCTTAAGATTTGAAACCTATTTTTATAATGCTGGATATCCCATTTTTTATTTTTTTTTTTTGCGCTGTCGCAATGCAACATCGTCGTGCAGCTATTCCCACCGTAAACAAAACCACTATACAAATAACAGTCACAGTATACTAATTTTTTAAGGTAAGAACAATAAACAGTCTTCCTTTGCCTTGAATTTTATGCCCCCGTAGCAGATTTCGAGTGCTTGAATATACATCAAGTGCCTATACAAATACTTTTAAATTCACGTAACCGATTTGATGACGTAAGTGAATTTTCCGCGAATTTTGAATGGTCATCAGTAGCAACGTTGCGAAAACAACACGTTAAATTTAAATGTGTTATATGCCCTTGCGACTGTATCGTATGCCATTAAGGCCAGGGGAAAATCATCGATGAGAAAGACACAAAACTTCTAGGATTTATACATTTACCAGATCATATAATAGAAGGTAGATTTGACTAGAATATTAAGCTAACGACCGTATTGACACCACCTGTATGGCAAACACTACAGCATGAAATTGATTGGAAAAGTTCTGGCGCGCGTAAACTTGAATTCTTAGGTAAAATATGAAGATGGTTGCATGTTTGGATAGAAAATGAAGATAAAAACATCTTACAGTGTTAAAAGATACATTGAATGTGAGACATACTCAGGTGTTGTTGTTTTTTTCGGAAACCAATGATTTTCTTTTTGATAGCATTTTTTAATGGATAATTTGGAAACATACCAAGTATGTCATTATTACATTTATTACTTGAGTACGTTTAGGTGCGACTACCATAAGTCTGTTCGTGATCTATCTTCATGCCCCACAAGAGACGACGGGAACATTTACCTGTGCCCCTGGAAGAAAATAGCAAACAATGCTTCTTCCGATGCATCCATCAAATCATTTGAAAATGTTGTTAAAGACAACTAAACACACCGTTAGCGAATTTGTCAGATTATTCCTTGTCTTATAATAACTGTGCCCCTTGATCAAGCTGAACATTGCAAATTGTTTGATTTCCGGACAGACAATATCTTGCGTAACCTCAACACAATCAATCTAAATTTTGAAAATGTTGTCAGAGAACACTGAACACAGACCCGTTTTAAATTAATCCAGTTTCACTTTTGACTCCCCAGAGTTATGTCACGCGATCAATCTGAAAATAGCTAAAGTTACGGACAATAACTAGAAAGAACCTCCGCCAAGTTACTTGAACTTTGAATATTGTAAGATACCACTGAGCAGAAATCCCGGTCGAATTTGACTGATTGGACATGTGTTTATCCAATGTAATGCTCATGAATACAGCAGATCGATAACGTAAGTAAGTTTCCAGCAAATCTTGAGGCAGAAAATAGTGACTTTCCTTGGCCACGGATTAGACAAATATGTCTGCTATAATTTTTTTGACCTCAATATTATTCAAAGATCATCTTTTAAAA